TTAGCTATGATCTGGGATCAGCGCTGGGATGTGAGTCGCTGAGGTTGTGTCGATGAGGTCACAAGGAACAAAGTTTCTGTCCGTCGTCATCCTCCTCTGCTGGCTAACTAACCGGCCCACTAGTTTAGTTGGTTCTGCAGCTACATGCCTGTTCTCCGGGTCGGTTTGGTCGATTGGATCGTGTGCTGGATCTCTGGCTGCTTTGTTGCAGAGCCTGGTGGGCTCTCTGATTGGCTTGCTGGCAGGCCATTTGGCTGGTGGCCTGCCAAACATGGAAACATCCCGTTAGAGCTGAAAAAGCCTGGGCCTCGTCACTGCGCTCCTCTAGAAGGCTATAATTAAGTGTCTTGAAAAATGCAGCACTGTGAAATGGAGTCTTAATCCCGAGTCTTAAGTGGCTGTGCTTTTCCTCTTGGATGAGAGTACAGTATATGCTTATGAAGAAGCGAAAGAGTGAAGCTATATGACCGTAATGTTACAAATTATTTTTCTAAGAAAGCTAAAAGTGAGCGTATTTTCATAGTTGGTTGTTTCCTGCTTAAACTGGAAAGTTTACACACATTTCTAGCTGAAACACTGAGCCCTGTGTCTTGTCATCTTCCTTAATGAGGTGTTGTTCACAGCGAGGATACGCGCGCCTCGTAAGTACGTGTCTGAATGCGTCCCTTTGAATGTCAAACAGCGAGGGAGATGTGAAGGTCACAGACGCGCCGGGAGAAGCTTTTGCGCAGTTCGTTTGCTGACAACATTATAGGCGGTGGATGTGTGCACATATTAGCGGTTCACACACTCTTTGTCATTCCAAGTGGGAACGAGAACAGAAACTTTTATTACTCGCTTGATATCTCGACAGGAAAATTAGTCAAGAGAATGTCAGCTAAGTTTGATTTTTATTGAAAACAAATAATTGAAACTGAGCTGCCGAAATACAATATTACCATAAATCATAAAACGCACATCCTGCTCGATGTGCTATACTGTGGTTCCTCACTGTTAGTGACTTCTCCTACTGTGCAGTGACTCCAAGCCAGTGTAACACAGTAGATGAATAATACCAGAGCTGAGAGAGACGATCCAGCTGTGCACCAGGCAAGCAGCAGAACCACTGAAAAGCTAAACGGCTTTATGCTAGATTCATTACTACATCATATGAAATCAGTTTATGCTGAGGAGGATCAGCGGAGTATCCTTAAAAGGCCAATTCTGCCCGAAACCTTCCAGCATTCGCATTTAATCAAAAGTTGTCGGGTTCCTAAAATGTTATTTTGGTAGGCATGGTATGTTCTTTTTTTATTGAACGGATTATTCTGGCACATTAACGCCATCTTTCCGTCACATCTCTGGAACATCAAACGTTTTGAACTTGTGCAGATTTTGCCCAATACCTCTGAATGACAGAGAGCCAGACGGTAAAAAGCCCTCGCGCTGTATGAGTGTGGACCGTATCCTGTAGGGAGCTGGAAGACAGATGCTGGATGTGCAGCGGAGAAGCAAAGCGGAGTCAGATGGGACAAACACTCTTTGATGAGCTGAGCTTGTCAGAGTTTAAAGCACGGCTAGGTAGGGAGGGGGGGGGGGGGGGGGGGGGGGGGGGGGGGGGGGCTGTTTGGGGCCCTGGGGTTGGGCCGGGAAAATTACGTTGCCTCTGATGGGACAATAACAGAGTGCAGCAAATCTAAATTTAGCCATGATTAGTTTGACTTAGAAAAGTTGGTGAGTTTGTGTAATGTTCTCATTAAAGGGTCTGTTATTCATAGAACGTGCACATTGACAGTTCCACTTCAAATTTAAGTCAGGATTTAAAGTAATAAGGCTGATTTGGCTGATGGCATGAAATTGGCCCCCCTCCTTTAAATTTCCTAAACTAGATTCCACTACAACATTAAGGGTGTTTTCCACATTACTCTACATTTACTCAACGATAAAAAAGCGATATTATCAGAGCTGAAACTTAACTCTGTTGGGATAACCGGCTCCATGGTTCCTGCAAGTCCATGTTTATCACTATTACAGATTTAATTACTACTATTCACATTTATCCATCCATGAATTGTTAGATGATCTTTGAGAATGTTGGACAATGTGAACCATATTTCTGGTGTTTGGGGCACACAGAAGGGAAGCGTAACTCAATCACTCGCCCCCCCTCCTCCGTCCACATGACGAGGTGCCAGATGCGTGTCAGTGCTTTCAGACATTATATATATATATTCCTCCCACATCCTCACACTCACACACAACTTAATAGACATGTATATGTGCACACATACTTGCTTGTGAAACTTAAGAACTTGACTTATTTCAAGCGCTCGGGCTGTAGTGTACGGTGAATTACATTATTTCTCTTACAACACTGCAATCTTTAGCAAAGTATATAAAACTGCATCTAACTTTACAACATAAAAACAAGCTACAAAGGCTCTGACTGGATCCAAATAACCCAACAGCTGTGCCTCCCACTTGTCCCATTTATTTTGAAACAGGCCTGGAGTATCAAAGCTCTTTGTCTTAAAGACTCACTGCAATAAAAGCCTGTTTGGGAGCAATGGAAATGGAACACAGAGTGGCAGTACACATGCTGATGTGTGATGTGGCATCCAGAAAAGTCTCATTGGGAGACCGATGGGTAATCAGGGCTGAGGGTGGGGTGGGTGATGAGTGCCGGCTGAGATATAGAGGCTCACAGAGGGTAAATGATGCCCTCTACAGTAGACACAAGAGGGACAAGCTAAGTAGGCCCTCTCACTGTTTTCAGTGCAGCAGGCATAAAGAGTATGTCAGCCATAAAAGTTAAAGTGTGATTTTTATTTATTTTAATTTATTTGTTCTGTTTTGTTATGATGTAAGGATGTATGTAGCACTTTTTATTTTGTTTTAAAAAAAAAATAAGGCTTTTAAAAAATGCATGATTTTTATGTCATGAGTTGCAGATCTACTATTTTTGTTGTGTTAAATATTCTTGAGAATTATTTTCATTCATTTTCTGAGTTTCAAAAAACAGCAGCTGCGAAAATAAAAACCGCAAGTGCCGAAAAATCAACTGAAGGTTTCAGCATTTCTAAAGCTGAAAAGTGGCTCCTGTGAGAGTTCCTCTGTTGTAAATTACCGGGTTATCTTTAAGGATGCATACATGTGTAAGCAGTGTTTTGCTGTTGGCTGACATTGAGCTGGTTTTTACAATTTGATACACTGTTGGCTAAATTTACAGCCGTTCGGCGTTTTTGTGTCTCACACATTCTGCAATTAAATAAGAAAACGGGTTAAATAATGTAGTGTTGTAGTAAAGTACAATAAGTGTGTCAAAGTAGGAAATAAAAGCTGCGTCAAATGGACTACTCGGTATGTGATCTCGTTTTGAAATATGCAAATACATTTTAAGTTGTGCGTAATTACGCAAGGAGTCTCATTTTGGTGCTGCTTATATAGATAGATCGTTTATTTTCGGTCTATGTGTAATAAAACGACCGTGTAATAGATTTAACAAGTTGTATGAGGCACAGAAACTGTTGAAGTTGGATTTTCCATAAATGCCTTTCCCAAACGCGCAGTCGGTTCACAGGGCGGCCACGTGGATGGATAAACATAAATTAAAGCCCCTGTAAAGTAGAATACCTGTACACCTGCACAACAGCTCTCCCCTGTGACCGAGTGAAACTCTACCCCTGCGCCTCTACCTGACTCACCGCTCTCCGGTGACTCACTCACTCCTATACCTTATGGAGTGTAACTCGCTTCTCGCCGCGGCTCGGCTCTCTCTGAACGCGTCTGTGAGCCGTTTACGGTCAGGACACGGCGGTAACACTACACGGTCTGATGGACTGATGTGCGCGTTGCTGACTGAAAATGAGCACCTCCGCTGTTAGGAGCGCGCTGATGGTCCAGGGGAGCGGTAACATGTCGGTACGTACGGTATAGGCTGTGAGCAAACTTTGAAATGTAGGTAAGAGACAGGCGTGAAACGCAGCTCCACGTGTCCTTCATGAAGTTATGGCCATTTACAGGGAGATCTGTCCGGCAGTCTATATAGGCGTGATAGATTATGGCGGAGGGAATGCATCTGACTCCAGACACCACGTGTTGGAGTCGCATCAGCGCAATAATTGCTGGGCGCTCGAGCTATATAAACCACAAAAAGCCTGAGCACGGGAAACCCCGGCCTCCAAACACTAACCGCATTTACGGCTACAAAACCGGGATTCGTTTTTCCGCCTCCTTCATCTCACCGGCGATAGTTTTTTTTCTCTTCAAACGTCTTTAAACCTTTTTTTTTAACCCTACACAAAATCAGCGGCACGGCCGGAAGACTTAACAGAAAAATATGTTGAATTTGCAGGCGTCGCGGGATTGTAAATAACCCTGTAAAGTATTGTTAAAGCTTATCCCTTTGACTTTGAAAGGTTTTTTTGTGTGTACATAGCCTGCGGACTTTCAGAAAGCCTTTCAGTTTGGCACAAAGACTTCAATGACGCACCTGGAGCTGCGCTTTGACTTTTCACTAAAGGGAGACAGACAAAAAACTTTTCGTTTTTTGAGCATCTGGGTCTGCTGTTCCATTTTAGACGTGCTTTTTTTGTAATTGTATAGCCTATTACGAGCTCGGACATTTATTTGATGTTATTTATATCCGCACATGAGCAACTACGCCAGCGTTATGGCACATGGACTCTTCCACCGAGGAGTTTGAAAAAGAAAGAAAGAAAAAAAAGAACTTGTCATTTAAAGCATCATCAACTTTTTTTAAGGGTTGTTTTTCTTGCTGGAGAAGTCTATTTTATGTCGTTTGAAGGCGACCACTAAAGTTTGTAGTGGAGAGGGTTTTGAAACGCGGTGTGCGCTCACTCGAGTCCCATTTTCCATTGGCAGGCGCGCTGAGGTTCAGCGAGCAGCGGCGCACGCTCCTGAGTTTCTCCCTGTGTGAGAGAGAGAAAGAAAGGGAGCAGCCGGAGAGCCTTTGGTGCCTTTTCTGATAATCCACGCTGTTGTGATGCGAATTCCCGTAGATCCCAGCGCCAGTCGGAGGTTCAGTCCGCCGTCCAGTAGCCTCCAGCCGGTCCCAGGAAAGATGAACGATGTGAGCTCTCCAGCCGGGCAGCCGGACGCAGCGGCGGCGGTGCCAAGACTGCGCCCCCACGAAAACCGCAGTATGGCCGAGATCATCGCGGACCACCCGGCCGAGCTAGTGAGGACCGACAGCCCCAACTTTCTCTGCTCGGTCCTGCCCTCCCACTGGCGGTGCAACAAGACTCTACCCGTCGCTTTTAAGGTGAGTCCCGACTCAGCGCTGCGCTGCTGAACGAATAAAGCGACTTTTGATGGCTATCATGGCTCACTGCTAGAAAAAAAACTACCAAATGAAGCCCAAAGCTGATTTTGAACAACAATAAACGCGTCATCTTTCTCTGAAGACATTTTAACAACGTTAGATGACGAGAAGTTCAGATTTTTAAAAACCTTCTCTCACTCGATTATTTACCTCTTTATCTCTTAAGCTTTTTCTTTGAGTTTCCAAGCCTTAATGGCTATTAATGTAAACATGCAGAATCCGGAAGTTATTACTGTTACATTAAAAATAAATTATAGTCAGGAAATGCATAAAAAAATAATATTATTGAAGTTTAAGGGCATTAGTCTGACGGTTTTAATTGTAGGAAAATGAGTCAGCGTCTGGAAGAAAGGAGCCACATGTGCATATTGTTTTCATCTTGCGTTTAAAATAAATCATTATAATATTTATTTCCGAGAATCAGAAAATGTTGTGAATTAGTTTAATACAATATACAAGCCTTTTAAAGCAACTTCCCATCCAGTGAAATAAGCAACAAAGACTTCATTGTATTGGATATTTCTCTTTTTGACAATTTGCATCAAATGTGAAAATTATTTAATAAACATTACAGCATGTTGTCTACATTTAGTTAGTCTGTACATTTTCATTTTCCTCAAGCTTTTAATACTCCGAATCAGAAAAATATATTTCTAATGCTCCAAAGAATAATGCTTTTGTGTATTTGGCCTATTTTTGTTCCTTTTTTTCTCTTTGTTTTTGGCTTGCATGATATTGCAAAGAAAAGCATCTGTTAATTACTTGACAGGTATTATTTAAACGGCAGATCAAAGACACTCTCAAGTGGAAATTTGTAGCTACAGCCATGGCTCCAAATCAAATGTGACACTTTTTAAATATAAGTGTTATTTAACCGTTCTTATAACTACAGCTCTGTAATTATTCCACTTCTGTGGCCTTACTTATCCTCTTTCATCTGCATCCAAGAATCTAAATGATAACACGAGGCCTTGGCGCTTTTGTTTTGAAAGACTGCATTTTACATGATTCAACTGAGGACATTCATCATGATATCAGGCTGCTTCGAGGCATTAAAATTAAATCCATTTATCAACCTAATTTGTAGGAGGATGGCAGGATGTAAAATGATGAGTCTAGACAAGCTTTGAATAGTCAAAACTGAGAAGACGATAATGTTTTTGTTTTCCCACAGCTTCTGATATTTAAAGTAAAATCTTTCCCCCCACAGGAGCAGTGGAATATAATGTAGCTTACGTCAGATTGAAATTTTGAAAGGAGAACTTTTGTGCTTCTAACAGGTGGTAGCCCTGGGAGATATACCTGATGGGACCGTTGTCACCGTAATGGCGGGCAACGATGAGAACTACTCCGCTGAGCTGCGGAACGCCTCAGGTGTGATGAAGAACCAAGTAGCACGTTTCAATGACCTCCGTTTTGTGGGCCGCAGCGGCAGAGGTGAGGCCTGGAACTTTCTCTGTGCTCCTTTCACTACAACACAGTAGTAGCTATTAGGTTCAGTGGTGTGGATTAGTGGCCACATTCACTACGTGGCAACCACATAATGATCTCTCTGACTCCAGACTCAAATCCCACCACCCATCTCGCAGAGCCCGAGTGGTGAAGCGTGTTGCTCCCCCCTTTCTTTCCCTTGAAACGATACTTCTCGATATGTTTTTCTATCCTTTAATCCAGACGAGTTGCTTTTTCGTACTTGTGATTTTTAGATTGAGAAACAAACTGTGCAAAGATAGAAATGCGCAGCTCTCCAGTGTCAGCCACATTAAAAAGCGAGAATCTGATAACAAGAAATACTTATCAAACTCACAGGCTTTTTTTTTTCTCTTCCTTTTCACCTGATATGACCCAGCTCAGTTCAGGCTCATAAACATGTTGGGTGGTGCTGCAGCTCTACGGCTGATCACTCTCTGCGCATATCTTCACGCTGTCAGGCAGAGAAGCGCGCCTATTAAGTCCAATGGCATTCTTCAAATGTTTGGCATCACGAAAGTGACTATTTGCATCATTTACTGTCATGTCGGTAAATCATGTACGTTTGGGTCTCCTGATGTGCTCTTGCACTCGCCGTGCTTTCTGTAACTATTTTATTTTTTGTACAAATCTCACAGAAAAAAAGTCGCCTGTCGTAAGTTGATGGTGATAAGTGCTGTCAGCAGCTCCACCAGCAACTTTTCCTCCCGGTTTCCTTCTCTGTTGTAGCTGTCAAAAAGGGGAGGAAGCAGAGCAGTCAGGAGGGCCGAGGAGTGACAGAGTTTTAAGAGGAGACAACGAGGCATTTGGGTTTGACCTGTTGCCACAGAGACCTTGCGTGCGTCCCTTTGCTGTAACAAAGAATCTAGTAACAGGAAGTGACATAGGAGCCAGGGGAGATCAGACTACGAGGTGTCTGAAATGAATACCCTGCAATGACAGATAAGTACAAGCGAAGTGAACTGATAGGATGTTAGATAGCTGAAAGTCATGCACGGGAGAATAAGAGAGAGAGAACAAAGATGCACAAGGATTGATGGTTACAGGGCTGACGTGGTGCCTCTGTATGATGATAGCACAGATGCACAGGACGGCTAGTTCAGAGGTCTCAGATATCGCTGATAACATCATTAAAATTAATAGCGTCATAGCGTACAACCTTACCTTGACAGGAAGCACGAACAGGATCACAATTAAGAGATGACAGCAGCTTTAACAGCAGTGAAGCAGGAACACAATGCACAAGATGCCCCACTGTATCATAGATCATCAGTATGTGTCACTTTATTTATATGTAACAATATATCAACAAAGTCAAAGATCCGTACCAGTATTTTGGTGATGTACCGGTGCATCCTTAGTATCCACTGTGTTGAGCTAGTGATATCATTTGTTTATCCTTACTGTCAGCTAATAATTTCAACTCTTAACCCTAGCTAGCATTAGTTTATGTGTTCCAGTTATTTAGAAATTCCTTTTAGTTGCTATTTTCTACAGTTTATCCATGAATTGTGGTCAATTTTTATGTTGAAACTGTTCACAACCACTTAAGTCATTAATTGATTGCAATCATAGAGCTAATCTTTCCAAATACCACACCTGATATCGTTGAAGTAACCCTCTGGGGTTCTTGGTCGGGAACACCCACATGCACCTTGAAACGGGTATGAGGGACGCCTGTTGCATCTCCTCTGTCTGACTGCTATCTGATCTTTGAAAAGCATGTTTACACTTAGCTGGGGCTCAGAATGGAAGAGGGGATGGCACACACAGGTGTATGGATGAATAGACAGGGGCTCGGATGAGTTGCTACCCCCGCTTCCTGTTTCCAACGTGTAGCCATGGTTACTCATTGCGTCTGCATACCTCAGATATTACTGTTCCTGCTGACTTGGCTGTTGGACTCTGATTCATAGCATTCCTCATCCATGCACATAGGGACGCATACACTTGCACAGACAAACACTCAACCCCAAGGCAGCAACTGCTGGGGATTATCGAGAAAGGAAGTGACTATTAAAATGCCTCTCGCCCACTCACAAAGCATTAGAAATTCTGGATAACACGATACTGGCTCCTGCAGTCAGTCTTCCATTTAGACTCTGCCAAAGGACCTAAATAGACCCTCTCAAACAGCCAATGTTGTCTGTTGTTAATCCTCTCGAAGTCGTTTCTTCCCCAGTTTGTATTGGCTATTATGTGATCACAACCACACTTGTGACTTGGGGATGTTGTAGAGATGAATACTAGCCATTGTCTCAATTGTCATTTGATGTTGCTTGATGTCACTACAGGCAAGAGCTTCACTCTGACAATCACAGTATTCACCAACCCGCCACAAGTGGCCACTTACCACCGAGCCATAAAGGTCACCGTGGACGGACCTCGTGAGCCCAGGAGTGAGTACCAATGCACGCACAAGCAGTACAGTATGAAAATAAGTGCACACACACAAGGAAGCATCCTAAGTCTTCTTTCAATTTGCCAATTTGCAAGCTTTCAAATATGGGATTCTACTTTTTCATTAGAATAAGTAGAATCCCATCGTGTTATGTGGGATCAGATTCTAGCTCATATATGTGATGATGATAATATCAGGGAGCTAACTGTGGAAAATACTTCTCAACTTTTACATAGTTCTTCACCTATTCTTGATATGCAAACTCAGTGGAGTGCCCTTTAACTGAGCTATGTGTCCAGCCAGCAAACAGAGTCGAACGTCCGGCTTAAATGATGACACTAATAAAACGAGGAAATTAACAAAAAAGAAAAGGTTTACAGGAAAAGGTTCTAAATTGTGTTAATTAGCAATCACTTAAAGACTTCTCACAAAGCAGTCTAGCCTCCCATGTGACACTTTGAGAGACAGAAGAGAAATAAAATGTGAGGCAACGTATTCCTCAGAGGGTACGCGGGGTAGCAGAGTGCTAGCATCAGCTCATTTTAATGGGCCATATAAAAACAACTGAGGAGGGAAAAAAAAACTTTACTATAGCCAACAGTGCCAACTGGTCTGGCATGCAGCTGTTTCCACAACCCTCCTCCCTATTCATAAAAAAAAAAAGCATATTCTCATCTCATGGCGTCTCAATGAACAATATCACATCGCAAACAACTCACCCCGCCTGTCCTGTCACATATGGCACCAGGACACACAGAGACACAGAGGAGCCAGGAGACACTAGGATTAGTACCACCATCAGTCTCTCGTTGTAGGAAACCTGCCTGTGGTGCCAAAAAATGCCTCACACACTCGACATTCAGCGCTCATCAACATGCGCCCTGAAACAAAGGCATATGCTTGTCCTCAAACGCACATGTACTCACGCTCACGCCCACTTTTCCCCACCATCCGTTCTCGCTCTCGAGCCATCTTGTTTGATCAAAAGCATTTCCTGTGCATCTGCTGTCCCACCCCCCCAGATGACTTTCAAACAAGTCCTGTTATTTGGTGGCGAGCAGATGGGAGTCGGAAGTGAATTTGTTTAGAAAAGCTCGGTGCGGCCTCAGCAGAGCTGCCGTCTTAGATTTGTGTCCAGAAGCCTGAACACACGAGAAGCGAGTCTTTAAGCTAGAGACCTGATCAGGTGAGGGTACACTGGCACAAGACTTCACTCTCACAGGCATTGTTTTTTCTTCTATTTAGCCTGAGTAAAAAAACATAAAGCTAGAGTTTGCATGTTCCAACTTCAGTCTCAGGACAGTAATTTAAGCAATAAAGACTATGTCATCATGCATAACCCCTGAACTTCTTTCCTTTGCTGCTAAGTGGTCAGAATTACAGTGGTGGTGTAATTTACCCAGAAACTACAGCCAGAACACGTCTCCCTCTCAGGGGTCATTAAGTCGAGGTCGGAGGGTGGCAAAACACACATGTGCCCTCTCCACAGAGCCTCCCCCTCCTCCAGGTTTTCAGCACAGAGACTCTAAGCTGAGAGCAGTGACTGTCTCCAAAACTGTGATTCTATCTGTGAACGCTTCATTGAGACGCTGGGAGGGGGTATGGGGGGGCTTTGTTGGCCATTACGGCTCTATTTTGTGTTAAACGAGTGGATAATTAGGAGGCCTGTGGTATAGCCAGGCCCCACCAGGGAGGGTTGCACTCAGAGATGGAACAGTAGGCTATCTTAAAGTTGACATACACTAGCCCTTTGTGGCCCTCCTCTTTGAAAACACTGTGGGGCATTTTTTGTTTGTTTGTTTTCCTCCTGGAAAATAAGTTGACAATAGCAGAAGATTTCAGCCGGTTCCTGACATAAAAGTTCAAATGTCCAAATATTCTTTATGCTTCTGTTAACTTTTTTTCTAACCGTATAATTGCTTGCCTGGTTGTGGGTGTCTCATTCAGGAAGTAGATTTTGTGTTAACTTGTTTGATGCTCCTTATGGTAGCCATATGAGTGTTCCTGAGGGATGTCATTTTCCCAGCGCTCCCTTGTCTAATATCAGTAGGACCACCCCTGTGACTCAGTAAGGCACACATCTCTGAACTGTGGACCCGAGCCTTAGTTAATTAATTGCGTGGTCGGTGACGAAAATCAGCGAGGCCCAAGTATAAAGATCTGTGGTATAATTTTCCTCAGAGGTTTACAGTGTGTGTGTGTGTGTGTGTGTGTGTGTGTGTGTGTGTATGGTAAGTGGTTAGTCAGGTCCCTCTGGCCACTGTGTCATTAGCGGGAGGCTAACTTGGTTTTTGTGGCTCGTATTGTGCTTAATCGCTTGACAGCTCTTGGTTAACCTGTGGTTTGCCACCGCACAGACGACTCATCGACTGTGTGTATACATGCGCCCGTGTGTGCTCTCACATGCAGATGTGCGTATCCGTTTGCTCACGTGCGTTTCTCGCAGCGCCTGTGTCTGCTGGTGTGCCCCCACATGACATGGTTTGCAGAATGTGTGTTATTGGTGTCATTAGTCTAGTGTAGCCACAGTGCTGATTTGGAGCAGAGCTAATAGGTCTCATTAAATGTCATTTTGAGCTAATAGACAGGGAGTGGTTGTTTAAACCAATATGCTTTTATAGGTGGTTCTGTCTCCTTTCAGCTGCTCCTGACGGTGGCTGTGGCCAGCTGAGACAAACTTCCTGAGTGATAATAGCCGAGCCGTATTAACGCAATATACAAGCCTTTCTGTCCAAACCCACTATTCTCATTATAGTTAATTGATGACAGACAAGCACAGAGGGTGACAAAAACCATTGTGGCATTACACATACTGTGTCTTGCTGTGGCGTAACACGGTGGTTATTTCTCATAACTTGGTGTGTGTGCGCGAATGTTGTGTGTCAGCAGTGGAGGTTAGCGGTCAGGCCCGTCTCTGCACTATGGGGTTTGAAGCCGTATGGTCTCGGGGGTTCTGGGCATGGGGACGGGGTCGTGTTTTGGTTCAGGTTTGGTCAGGGTGTTAACAAGTCTGGTGAAGAAGCCATGGTACTTACAAGCCTGCAGACAATATTAGTGGTTCAGGAGACCTGTCTGTCTGCCAAGCCAAACTCGTGCAACACACACACACTCTCACACACACTTAGATGCACAATACTTCCATATGGAGTTATGCTTCTCTATGTACTTGATGATAATAACTTAACTTGCAGCTACTTGGTGCTTTGCAGAGTAAAACTGAAGACAAGAGTGTGTGCATATTTTCAATAATATTATGAAATAAATGATTTTAAAAAACATTTTTACAAATATATATATATATATATATATATATATATACCCCCAAAACAGGAAAATCAACGCTGGCTTTCCTAACCAGGAATTCCAAAGCTGGGGAGTCCTCACGGCAAAAGTTCCATCATTGTTTTCACAAATCTGGATTAGGAATATCCAGAATAAAAAGCTGCTTACTCTAATATATATAATTTGATTATTTCTCTTGGACAAGATAATCTTCATTAAAACCTCGTACGTTTCAGTTTAGCTGGAAAAAGATGACTCAGGACTTTGGCATTAGGAGTGGTGCATGATTGATAGGGAAACAAAAACATGTCACTTAATTTGCAGTGTTACTACTTGGTGAGATTTTGTTGTGGAGCTTATTAAATTAATGAGTTTAAACTGAATGAGTGATACTTAATTTACAGTAAAGAACACGGAGAAAATAACAGCCAACAAAAGAGTTGCTATTTTGTAATAAAATGAACTGACACTTTATTAAAACTGAAAATTAAGCGATCGCAGACACACTCTGACACAGATTTGCTGCTCTTTCATTTTTAGTGGTTTCTTTTCTTTATCACCTTATTGTGATTCCTGTGGGCAGCTTGTGTCAATATTGCTGTGTTGTGAGCTTCTCTGTGATTGGTTCTTGTCTGGCACACTCTCAGCTGGGTTAATACGCAAAATGTAGTGCCTACTGTTGGATATAATGATACAAAAAAATGCCTCCAAACATTTATATATTACACACCTACAAATGCCATTGCAGGGGCTTGTACAGTAAGTGCTAAAGTGCCATTTGCATTAAACCGTTAAATTCAAATGATGTCAGACAGATACCATTTAATATCCTTGAATTATGTTCAGGAATGAAGCCCTCTACGTGTCTGGATTATTGTACCCTTTCAGTTACTGCCTTAAGCAGTAACTGAAGCAGTGTTCTTTTGTTCATCATCCAAGTAATTAAAGAGGATTTCAGAAGATTCACCTATCGGCTACAGCCACACTTGAAACAGCTTTTACAATGGTAGCTGAACAAATAAAAGTCATCCAAACATCAGGAGGGAAAAAAAGGCAATGAAATGAACGATGAACAGAGTAGGAAGGTGGGGAAAAGGGCAGAGGGAAAAAAGAAAAGAAATACTTCAGGCTTTTCTAGAGGCGGCCAGTCACTTGAATGTCTTATGAAGTCCCTTGAAGACGTGCCAAGGCGTCTAAAGAACAAAATAATCCAGTGGGAGGGAGAGACAAAGAAGACAACAGAAGAATGGAGAGCGAGAAAGGGAGGCAGAAGTGAATCATAAGGAGATATAAAGATAACGAGACAGAGTCTGGGTTTGTTTGGCCCCGAGATGCGACAAAAACATCTCAGATGGATTTGTTCTCCCCTGTTCTGAATCAAAAGACGTTAATGCGAGCAGAGAGGTGCAGAAGGAGCCTGTCTGAAAGCCACACATGAGCTAAACTCTGTGTGTGTGTGTGCGTTTGGTGGGTGGCGTGTGTGTGCGCGCTGGTGCTCTTTAAACTTTGTACAGTATTGTACAAATGTGTATAAAGTGTGTTTGCATTCAATAAATGTATCGCCTTTGGGAATTTTGTGTGTGCGCGTGTGTGTGTGCCCTTCCCTTGCCTGGCTAGCTTCCTCCGGGCTGGAACGCATGGACCACACAGACGGCTGGCAGCGCTCCACGACAGCCTGGCTCCCCCTTTCCCTCTTTCTCCTTCACTCCTTTGCTC